TCGGACTGTATACGGTGGGCTTGAAAGACTGATTCAATCTGCAGGAACCATAGGTCTGGATGAGAACGCCAAAAGGGTGGCAGATTGCAGTTGTAAACTGCGTCAATGGCATAACTCTGCTGCTGGTTGAGCATCATGGGGGCTGGCAACGAATTTACTACTGGTTGGGCATATGCTTGCTGATAGCTCACCGGGTGATTTGTTGGATTAAAATGCACCGCGGGATCAAATGCTGTACTGCCGTGAGGGCCAGAAGGTTGAGGCATAGGAATACTCACTGACGAACTCCTGTCTGGTTGCTGGTTGGTAAAAGAGCTGTTTGCAGCCAATTGCTGATCAGGATCTACTGAGGAGTCGAAATTGCTTTGCATCGTGATTTTTTTAGTAGTCAGACACGTCTTTTAGGTTAGAGGCCGAGTGGTACGCGGAGATATATCACGTCGGGGTCACCAGTTATAGCTACTACTGCTATGTGTTTGCTTGATATATCACCAGCGAATGAAAACACTGTTTTACTAATAACTCGGTTTAATTCTGGGCACTGAACATACAAATAAATCGAAATACTTTATTTTGTTAACAACAACACGACATCATAATTTCGCGGCAACAAGCTGACTAGAAGTAAACAACAACCTGGGACAGCTGTCTTCTGTCACGTCACGTCAGGCCGCCAGGGTTGTACACAATAGTTGAGCCATCCAGGGTTGAACACAACGGACTCGCGGAACAATGACGCCACATATTGACAACCATCCGCGCCATCTCTCGATAGTGCAAATCGCGAATCCTGAGAGTAAAAGGAGTCAGTCTCTATAATTGGGATTAACCAATTTCAATTTGTAATATTAGCTCAGGAAACGAAGGTATTACTAAACAAAATCGATGGTAGTCGGGTTTTATTTTTTTTTCCGATAGATTTTGGGGTGCTGACTACGAATCCCGCATATTCCCAAAATAAATTCACCGGGATCACCCCGTTTGCGGCCCCTAAATGGGGTAGTTCTTGTTTTTCTGCAAACGTGTAGCCCTCTTTGTGCGTTGTACAGAAAAAAACGTTAATGGTAAATTATAGAGAACTATATTTTCTACAATGTCTTCAGCGACAGCATAGGTCCATCACCAACCCTAAAGCGGGGGTGGCGCCCCAAAGTTGACTACTTTTGAAAAAACATGCTTCTGCAAAACAATTTTTTTCAATACAAATGCGAATCGAACGGAACACCTGCGGCTATTTATCACAGATATAGGATTGATTTTTGATATATTTTTTATAAATGGGCTATTGCGCATTTTTAAAATTCAGGGTTTCATCCCCTAAAAAACACACCTTTATATTATCTGAACGGCTAATGGGAGCGGGTTCAAATTTTCAGAGATTATTTATGTAGGGTTTCTATTCAAAAATTCTTATATTGTACTCCCACTTCGTCCCGGCAACCTCCCGAAAAAAAATAGAAACTGTCATAAAAAGTAGTTTTTTCCCAATTTCTACCACAGTTTCTATTTTTTTTCGGGGGGTTGCAGGGAGGAAGTGGGGGATGGGGAATGGAAATTGATTCGTTTCTTTTTCTCTTTATTTTTGCTTTCTTTTAAATTGCGTGTGCTATATGCCATATACCTAAGAATTGATACGGCTTTGCTAAATTTGGCTTTTAAAAATGCGCGCGTTAAACACTGAAAAAGGATATCTGCAAAGTCCTTTTGAACTGCCGACGAATAAAGTCAGTCGCTAAAAACACTCCGTCCGTTTCCTGTGGTTCGAGAAAAGAGACCTGCGGTTTTTTCGTTTGCCGCGACCGGTTTAATCAAGACAGTTTCGTTTGCCTTCGAATTGGACTTGAACTTCCTAAAAGAGTTGGCCAGCTGAGTGGAGTTTGGAAGTAAAGCCAGTTAAGGTGAAAAAATATCCTTTTCAGTTTCCATATCTTTCAATTTCATTTTAAAATCTTTCATCGATTACCATTCTATCAGCAACCTGTGGATTTTCCAGTTTCAATTTCGCACAGAAACCTTACATAAATAATCTCTGAGAATTTGAACACGCTTGCATTAGCCGTTCAGATAATAAAAAGATGTGTTTTTTAGGGGATCCGTCTTTTGAAAATGCGCAATAGCCCATTTATAAAAAATATACCAAAAATCAGTCATACATTTGTGATAAATAGCCGCAGCATGTTTTTTCAAAATTAGTCAATTTTGGGGCGCCACCACCGCTATAGGGTGGTGATGGACTTATGCTGTCGCTAAAGAAATTGTAGAGAATATAGTCATCTATAATTTACCATGAACGTTTTTTTTTTTTTGTACAACGCACTGGAAGGGCTACGTTTGCAAAAAAACAAAAACTACCCCATTTAGAGGCCGTAAACAGGGTGATCCTGGTGAATTTCCTTTGGGAATATGCCGGATTCGTAATCAGCGCCCCAAAATCTATCGGAAAAAAAATAAAACCTGACTACCATCGATTTTGTTTAGTAACACCTTCGTTTTCTGGGCTTTATAGCCATTTCAAATTGGAATGAATCAACTTTTAATTGGTAACTAACACGTTCAAAATGGGAATAAACAAAGTCAAATTGGAAATAAACGCATTAAATTTGGTACTAATCAAATTCAAATAGGCTTGGCATAATTTTTTAAATTTTTAAAGAAACCTTTGCTCTTTTGGGCCATTCCCAACTACCACAAAAGTTACTACAACTGCGACAGGAACCTATAGAGTATTATAGTTACGTAGTCGCAAAATAAATCTACGTCTTCTAGATGCAACTAACTTGATTTGTGAAATCACTGGTAGCGGCTATGTAGTTTACACCATTTGTTTTTACTGTATAGTAATATAACTCTTAAGTATTACTTTTAACAGTCGTAGGAAAGTTGTATTCACCAGCGTCAAGAACTGTAGAGTGAAAACCCCAAGGTGCAAACTATGGTTGCAGCAACTGCCCTATATTACTGAAATGGAACTTCAAAGTTACAATTACTTCAAAGTAGTTTTGATAGTTGTTATTAAGTAGTGAATACTTTAACTATTACTTTATTGTTGTGGAACTTACAAGTAATATTTATTAGTATCAATAACGTGTTCGTAACTTGCAGAACGGGATCTGAAAATGTTTGGTTAGTACAAAGTGCGTTTCACTTTTCAAATTTAACATGAAGTAGTATTTACTATAAAGTTCCAAATGAACACAACCTGACAACCTGAGTTCGCTTCTACTTAATGCCCTGCGTCCTGCGAGGTGTCCTGTCACTGTCAGCAGTCGATGTGAGAGTGTTTATTTAAAAATGACTCCTGATTATAAAGTTTATAGGCAAAAAAAAAATAAAAGTTATCGGCACTCTACAAACTTTTATAGAAACTTGAAGGTATTAACCTCAAATAATGGCAGTGTAAACAATATTTCAGTGTAGTGAAACCGTCACCATCAAGGGCAAAAAACACATGCTGTGTAAATCCATTTGCTATTCATCCACAAACAGAACAACTGGGAGAGTCGATTAGTACCAATAGTTCAGAAATTGAAAATATCAACAGGAAGGAATATGTTGCAGGGCTCCTGAAGACGACAATATTGTTTACGACGACGAAAAGGAACAAGATGATATAACTCCATAAATATTACGAACCGAACAGTTAAGAGCGTGGTGTCACTCGCATAGAATAACACACAACTCGTTAAATTCCCAGCACATCAGCTGATTACTGGAATAAAATTACCGATTCGATTTTGAGGTTGAAGTCAGGTCTACAAAGTTACAAATGGAACTTTGATGAAACTGTGTGTAGTAGCCATAACTTTGAGGCTACTTCGAGGTGCTATAGTTGCATGCGGTACTTCGTAGTAAATGTAACTTGAAACTTGAATATTTACCGTTGTGGCGACTTCAAGCAAGTAGCACTTACTTTGTAGTCAAATTTTGGAGTAAAAACGACTTCAAAGTTTCAATTGTCGATTCACGCCATTTTTAGAGACCTACTGGTCGCCGCCATTAGAGGAATTTTGATTGCTTTGATAACAAATTATATCTAATAATAACCATTTTTTCTCACACTTAGCAAAAATAACGCATAATTATTGATTTTAGACTCAAAGAACACCAAAAAAAGTGTTTTTATTCTCCAAAGCACCTAATTATTGCACGACATTAATTAATCTATTATTAATTTTTTTGCCAAAATAAGCAAATTTGAGTGGCGCATCGACAGATTTCGAGGTAACATCATCATCATGTTTGATAATTTTTGCCTACGTTTGAATTTTGTCCCTTAGACCACGACGAATAATCCAATTATAATAATAAATATTCTCTACTTTATATTTTCATAATATCTCCGTAGCGGTATCATTTCAATTTTTGTTGATGCGCGCCGATCATGTGCTTGCATGAAACAGGCATATTCTAAAATTCACTTGCTAGACAAAGACAACTAGCAGCAGCATGTATGTGTTAAAAAAACTCTTAGTTACTTTAAAGTTGCGGTTTACACGCCGCCACGTCGTCACGTAGACGCAACGGTACTGGAACGTGGCCGTTCAAGTTCCGGCTACGTCGCCAAAATGTTGCGACCACCAAAAAATTATCCCCCATTTTGGTAGCCGCTACGTAAGTAAAGCGTTCCTATTACGTGCCTTTCTCTGGTGGCGAAACACTTTAAAATCGTCGAAATGGTCATAGTTACGTTCCAACGACTTATTATGCTAGTTGGGTTATGCGCTACGCATGGTTCGATTCAGAGCTCACAAGTACCTAATTGAAAATCAGTAGGGTGCCGATAATATTTTTCGAAGTCGACTTAAAAACCTTTCAATGCTTTTTATCTCTATGTGTCTTATAGGTGTCCGCGTGTTTTCTTTTTACACCGTTTTAAAAATATACTATATACTATTGGCAGATAACTATTGCACCAAATGGACCCCCATTTCGACGTCTGGACGTACGAGTGAGCAAATCTGAGTTAAAGCCCTCCAGCGCTAACTAATGGTCATAGTTCATAGGGCCGAAGCGGAGTAGGCGATTGTTCTTCGTTGCCTCAAATCGTAGGTACGTCACCTCAGTGTCAAATTCAAAAACTTCTTTTTTTTTTTCGTTATTTATTACTATAACCTAGAGTAGGTACAGTCGTGAGCATGAAAAGTGGGACACCCGACTGGCAGGTCTTGTCATTTTTCGCTATTATGGGTAAATCAGTATTTTCTCTACAATGGATTTTTTGTCAAATATGATAATCGCTGTCATTGCCGTAGGTATAGCTGATGAGCTCGTTTTACAATAGAAAAAAACGGGAGTCCCCCTTTTTATGCTCATGACTATTCATGGCTGTATTTTATAAAATAACATCCAAATTCAAACTTCATTACATTCTATAGTCCATTGATCTACAGTAGCTCTCAAAGGCTCTAGCAAACTAGCATATTCACTCAAACTACAATCAAAACTACAGCCTGGCAAAACAAGTTTACTGAAATCAGTACTATTTTTAAAGTACATATTAACATAATCAATTTGACCGTTATTTTTGAGTTCCCAAATCACTGTAGAAGCAAACTCAGGTACAGCGCCTGGATAAACTCCCATGGCATTGGTACGATCTCCTATGGTAGAATCATGGGCACTCAACATTAAGAATTTCGATTTTACTGAATTTCCTCCATTAAAATCTTCAAAATAGCTCAAAAGGTAGTCCAAAAATGGTCCAGCTCTCAATCTAGCTAGTTCATCTGTGTATGTGTGCAATTGAAAATGTTTGGCTGCATACATTTCGATTTCTGGCCAATAATATTCGATCCAGTCTGGTAAAGTCAGATTGTAACCTTTGTAAATGTTGATTGTGGTGAATAATAGAGAAAATGTATTGAGGTCCACGCTAGGAATTCCAGTGAGTTCTGAAATATTCTTATAAAGATCTGCAAGTTCCAAGTTCAATTTTTGAAATTCTTCTGAGTTCATGAGTTCTTGTTCTAGTCTATCGTGCTTTGGACAAGGAACATGGGTCAGAATTGGATCTTCAAGTTTTGGAATTGTGTGGATTGGAATTGCCTGGAAAAAAATAATTTTACTAGGCGAAATATAGGTATCAACTAATGATTAAGGTCACTTCACGTTCAATAAATATAGATTTTTGAAAGAAAAGTGACTTGCTTTCGGTCAATCTTAGTTGAAACCTGATAATGATGACATTCTAAATAGAGAATCAATGATGTCCAAAGACCAACAATTGAGAGATAAGTATTCAAAATTTGATGTTGATTCTGTTGATTACATAAACTAGTTTGTTTCTTGTATCGTATTAAATCAATATAACAATTATCTAACTGCACTTAACAAAAAGTAAATGGAAAATAAATCAGCTATACTCTATTCATAGTCAAAAACAAAATCACGAACACAGAATATAAGAAAAAAGATTAAATCAAACTGGAAAATCCAAAAGAAGTATTCTCACCTGCCAAGGGATAGCGCTGTTCCAGACTTGATCGTCCTCCGGAGGATATAGGCCGGCCAAGTTAGAGGCTGCCGACATAAGAGTTCGGTCTACGTCCGTGGAGCGCACATATATGTCGCTGCAGTTGTATCTTTTTGGTAAAAATCCATCGTAGCGTTCTCGAAACCATTGTCCGAGCTTATAATGACGTTCTTTGCCTAACTGAAAAAAAATAAAGATTTAAGATAGGATTTAAGATAAGTGTATTTTATGACAAATTGGGAATAGAATATTAATTATTTTTCATACCGGATGCGCACGCGGGGTAAATTGTATATTCCTATCACAAAGTATTAGAGGTCAATTATTATTAAATTATTGCAGATAGGACAATTTTTCTTTCAATCGGAATACAAGAAAAAATATTCAATAGTCTCATTCCATTTAATTTCTCAGAATGATCCTGGATAGAGGTACCTTCAATTTGTATCTTGGACATCGTCTGATGTCTTTGATCAATATCTATGGAGGCTCCGTCATCTCAAAACTTGAGTATAAAGCTTCTCATCTACTATTAGTCAAATCGATTACCTCAATCACATTTTCTGCAATATGTATTTTCTTTAAGCTGAATCCTACAGCTTGACTTATGTAAACGCAAACGGGAAACTTCAGCTCAGCTATCGATGACAAGAGTACTAGAAAGTCTGGATTTTACAAATCCTTCCTTTGTTTTTTCTCATAATCAAGTACACTCTGTCTATTTTAATCTGATACTCCAAAGAAATGTGAGCTGGCGCTACATCCTCAATCAATCTGGTAGCGAAGTGGCACTTTGGCACGCGTGCTAGAAAATTTATGCCCATCCTCAATGCTGTCAATTTTCAGTCTGCTGTGCGTGTAGTACGGTCACATACCGTGCATTCGGTATTTTGATCTGAGATCTCTGAGGATGAATTTACCGTTCGTTTATTCAAAAAGTGTACTCGGTGCAGGCTCATTCACGTTCGTTTAATGAAATTTCGAGCCCTCTGATACAGCGTTTAACTGCTCTGTGCGCTCGCTGTTCAGGTGATTACGGCTCCGCTCTGCTCTTTGAGCAAAATACCGAACGCAAGGATAACCTAAATTATTTTTTACCGTATTGCGCATGACATAAGTCGGCACGCATCAAAAAAGCTGGCAGCTTGCAACCTTCACTTCGAAGTCGACGTGCATGCCAGCACGGAATTGAATTGAGGATGCCAACGTTAAACAACATTTTCCTAGCTTGCGTGCCGAAGTGCCACTTCGCTACTAAATTGATTGAGGATGAGCCTTTAAGCTTACTATTCTATTTCCTCAAATTCAAGAGAATTAATGTGTTAATATTTTATCTTCTTTATGGAGAAACACATCCATGAGGTCAGTTATTATCTTTCCATGCTGATAAATCAATTGACGGTACAAATCAAAAATTCTTTCTGAATAAAAAACTTCAATTGATCCATACTTACATTATTTAGTTGTCCATAACCGTCAGGCCACAGGGATGAATTACCAAAATAGATATCATTCGGCCACGAGCGCAAGGGCGATCTGTCACCGTGTCTGTAAAGCTGCAAAAATTATTTTTAGAACGTAGGTATATTTGTTGGGAAGTTCTATTTCTATGTTAATGTCGCTTTAGTGATCAGGTCTAACGACTAATAATTAATTAACAAAAAGCAAAACATAACTCCTTTTAAAAAAATACTTGAAACTTAATTTAGTTCAAATATTTTTCGCTAATCAGTCACGCGTCGCGTGATAGCTATTTCGTTTTTATCTGTTTTTACGCATTTTGCGTTTAGCTACAGGGTCCACCAACAAGGACTGAGGAAGACCTTCATTTTGAATTTCCCTGTATTTTTAGGGAAGTCGAAAATAGTAGTTTGGCAACTTTTCCGTAGAATTTTAAAATTGTACTTGGAGAACAATTGAGCCTTAAACAAAAGAGCTAAGACGTAGGAACTATATTTTTCGTTCAGTAAATATTGTTTTTAAAAACTATTTATTTTATTAAAAACTAAGAAGTTACAACAAAAAATACTAGACTCTAAATTGCTGCGGCAAACGCCCGAAAACAAAAGAATCTTGTTACTAATTGCTATAGTATTAACTAGAAACAAAAGAATGAAACAGAAGGCTCCCCACGCCGTATTTATATTAAAACACTGCCGAGCATGCATTTATGTGGGCGAAACCTTATATGACGGTACTTTTCCAGGCAGTATCCCTTACTCAACATCTTTATAATATCGTGGGCTCTTACAGTGGCGTATGCTTATATTTAATATTGAAAAGCATATTTATTTGTATAATAATAACATAGGGTCAAGATCAAGTTTAATTCATTATGCTGCAGTATTGTATAATGCATTATGCTTGCGTGTGCAAAACTGATTGCATTTTGTATGTAATTAATTAACTCGCGTAGTTTACTACTGTGCATATTAATGTTTTCTAATATCAGATTCACCAATAAGATATGTAGTATGATTATTTTGATTATCCGACAAAATATTTCTTATCTTATCTGAAATTAATATATGATTATTTTTGATATTTGAAAATTGATCATGAAATGTTTCCGTAACTTGTTTAAGTACGTTTGTTCCATCTTTTATATTTTTATCGATAGCTTTCTGATTCTCATTTAATGTTAGAATGTATGAATCATATCCATCACCGTTATTTGCGTCTAATGTTCCATACAGCCATTTTTGTGATGTACTGATGAAATTGAATACTCCACGTTTATTCCTTTCGCGTGAGAGTTGTTTCACAAATGTCCAATGTATTGATACGTGATTGACTGGTTTCAAAATTTACTTGTAATAAAGTAACAATTTCGTCTTTATTAGACCATTTGGTTAGATTTAAGGTATTTTTTTAAATTCTTTAAAGTCATTTCGAGAGTTTTAACACTTTTTCCAATAAGCGTAGTATTAATGTGAGAACATGCAGTGTTATGTTGAGTTGTGATGTAAGTGGTTCCTATAGAAATCGGTAATAGTATATTACATGCGGAGGTGGCAAATATAATAATAATATAATTTTGTTTTTTTACTACTAACCTGAGAAATTGTCATTATTCAATCTATTTTTCTAGGAAAAAATTGAATTTCTCTCCCTAGGTGAATAATGAAAATAATGAAAAAATACCTAGGTTAATAATGAAAATGACGTCATGACGCAAGGATATTGTCATGTTTCTATTGGTTCAATTTCATTTCCATACGTCAATTTGAAAAAAAATACAGGTTTCTGTAGGTACATAGGAAGTTATCATAAGCTGTTGATAGAGGGCAGCACTTTCAAGAGGGCGTTCAAAAAAAATAATTGGAGCACAGATTTTAAACAAATTTTTCATTTTCTACTAGCAGTAGTAAAAAAAATTCTATATATTCCTCGGTAGAGAAAGTCATTATATACCTCACTCATTATAAACCTCGGCGCGAGCGCCTCGGTTTATAAAAGCGCTCGGTATATAAGGACCAACTTCTCTACCTAGGTATATAATATACTATTATTGACATTTAAACATTACAATTTCAAATATTACAAATAGAAATTCTTTTGAATACAGTCTTAATCGAGAATAACGTCAACTTCGAATTTTTTAAGTCACATTCGAGAATATCTTTGCCAAATTATACCACTACAGAACACCTTTTTCAAATCACTTAGATTATATTTTTAATGAGGTCATCACTTGCACTTTTGATCCCGTTTTTAAATTCCTTTTTAAATTTTCGAATTTTTCTTTGACCATTTACATAATCTAGGATAATGCTGTACAATCTAGGAGCAATATAGCCATTATATCTAGTGCCTATTGTTTTATTGGCTTTTGGAAATTTGGACTATTATTAACCACATCTTATGTCTGTCATTATTGTCGAGAGATACTCGGCGCTTCGCATTTCGGTCCACCAATTCTCAAGACAATATATTTGAAAACTTTCCACCGAAATATGTATACTATTGCTAGATGGATTGAGAAGTTGCAGCAATACGATTTCCAAATTAAACTTTGACCTGGAAACCTGCATAAAAATGCTGACGCTCTGTCTAGACGGCCATGCAAAGAAGACTGTAAGCATTGCCAAAAAATCGACAAGCATGAGAAAAAAACTGGTCCGGCTGTGAGAAGAACAAGTCTGATCGTTGATGATAAATGAGAGCAGGTCAAGAAGCAGACCCATCGGGCAATTTCTCCATCTTAAGGAAAATGATGAATGTAGGCCAGAATGGAGGCAAGTATCGAACAAGAGCTTTATTTACAAGGCGTTGTGGGCCCGGTGGAACTTTCTGTCCGTAGAAAATGGTTTACTTAAAAGAGTTTTGGAAAAAAAAACCGAGCGGAAGATGTATTAAAAGAAATACATGACGGAACTTCAGGGGCACATTTTGCAGTTAACAAGACTTTGGACAAAATTCGAGAACGTTTTTACTGGGATCACTATCATGAAGACGTTAAAAACTGGTGCCGAAAAAGCAACATCTGTGTACGGTCTCCCATTTGAAAGAATAGCGATAGATGTTGCCGGACCGTTCCCCGAGTCAGAGCGTGGTAACAAATACATCTTGGTTATCATGGATTACTTCAGTAAATGGCCAGAAGTTTTCGCTATTCCCAATCAAGAAGCCATCACTGTTGCCCAGGTGCTAGTGGACGAAGTTTTTAGTCGTCATGGTGTGCCACTAGAGTTACATTCAGATTAGGGACGAAATTTCGAATTCGCCATCTTTAAGAAAATTTGTGATATCATGATAATTCGTAAGGCAAGGACAAGACCTTTACATCCACAGTCTGATGGCATGGTAGAATGACACGGGTATGGTAGAATGACATGGGACAAACACTTGCCTCTATTTTTAATGGCTTACAGAGCAGGTGTTCACGAATGAACCGGTGAAACTCCAGCTAGAATCGTTTTTGAAAGGGAACTCTGGTTACCTTGCGATCTGATGTTTGGAATACCTGAAGAAGAACGAAAAGAAATTCGAGATTATGCCGACGAAGTAAGGGCACGACTTCGGGCAATACATGATTTTGCTCGGGACCACATTCAGCTAACCAGTGACCGAATGAAAACTAGATACAACTTGAAAGCCAATTCCCCTGGATTTCAAGAAGGTGATTTGGTGTGGCTCTATAATCCTATAAGAAAGAAAGGAGTGTCACCAAAATTGTCTTCAGCATGGGAAGGACCCTACAGAATAATCAAGATGATTAATGATTTGGTTTTTCGAGTTCAGCGCAACACCAGGAGTAAGATGAAAGTTGTACATCTAGACAGATTGAAGAAATGTCATGGGCGTGAAGTTGATCGAGACGATCAACCTTAAGAGGAGGGCAGTGTAACGACATCCGCCAGTATGTCGAGAATCCAACGTAGTGTAACAATAACGCCGCCAGGATGTCGAGAATCCACAGCTGTTTCCAGACTTTACGGGAACCAAGTCGATCGCGGTTCTTCCTGAAATTACATGAATAGATTTACGGATATATAAAGCCCGGCATTAGTTAGTAGTTTTAAGTTTAGGTTTGGCTGTTATAGGATTTAGTTAGTGATTATTGTTGAGAGTTGTAAAAAGTTTAGTTGTTGAGTTAATTAGGAAGTAATTTTACGTTTTGGGCAGAATCCTGATGGTGAAATGTACGGTTCCCTGCTGGGTTGGAACCAAATAATTATTAACAAAATTTATATCGTAGCACACGTATAAAATACTCGATTTTCACATATGAAATAAAAAATCGGGTACAACTTATTCAATTAAAAAAAAAAAAACAAAGATGTACGTCGTAGCTCTTTTGTTTGAGTTTCAATTGTTTTCCAAGTATGTACCTACCCAAGGTTGTTTAAAAGAAGGAGGTTGCCTGCTAACTTTTATGACGTCATCTGCGTATACCTAAACATAATGGAAATCTCCATAAGGCGAAGGCACCCCAGATGCGTCATCAAGTCACCGATTACCAGACAACATATTATGTTAGGAACCTTGGTACTTATCTAACATTTTCAAAATCTACGGGAAAAGTTACATCGAGCATTTCGTTTCCTTCAAAAATACAGGGAAAGACCTTGTGGAGTCCTCGTTGGCGGCAGGGAAAATTCAAAATTAAGAAATCTTCACTCATGCGTTCTCTATTGTTAGTCGATGAAAAACACCAATGTGATAGTGACAATCTGTCACAGTTACAGTTTTCCTAGGGCTTTCATACCTACACTTTACGACACACCAACTTTGCTGTTTTTCAATTTTTCTCAGAAAGAGAGGAGAGAGATTTTGAAACACAAAAGTTGTGGATTATCCAGTTAAATTTCAAGAAAAAAAATATTCTACATTGACATATGCCTGTGCTTAAATAGGCAATTGCCTTTATAAATATTTTCTTTGGAGGTGAGCAGTTTATTGGAAAACTTTTACTACCTATTAAAATTCACGACAAAAAAAGATTCAAACAAAAAGGGTTTATGTCGTTAACGTAAGGTATTAAGTATGGGCAATACCTTTTTTATTTTCGAAGAAAGTTGCCATCAATAAATCAACTTTTTTCAAATTTTTGAATATTTTTTGCAGATATTCTGTATTCTTGGAAAAAAAAAAGGATACACTCTTTCCACCAACACTACTACCTACCATAAATTGCATTTAGATGACATTTCAACTTACCACAACTACAGCTTTGAGTTGATCTCCGTCCTTACCAGAAACAACATAATAATTAATTCCAAAAAAAAACAGCACAATAAATGTCCTTAAATAAATCATGATTTCCACTTAGCAAGACAATAAATTATTGCGTATGAATAATTAAATAATATCGAAGTTTATATTTAAAATAATTTGACAAGTAGATAAGATAATAATGAACGTTTTAAAGTAATTTTTTAAAGGTTTGTTTTATGCCTCACTGATTTTATGCGCACTGTTTCTTTGGCGCTCAACTACGCAATAAACTGTGCCTGAATAGCTTTTTTGCAAGTACCTACTTGTAAGTACGTTAACAAATGAAAAGTTGAATACCTACCTTTATATACTTTTTATCTGCTTACCTAATTTGAAATTTTAATTTTATAGCTGAAGGTAGAACCGATAATTCAATTCATGGATGGTGATAAAAAGCAAAACAAAATACTTATGAAATTCGCGATAATGAATAATATTTATTGAACGACGTAAGTTCGTAAACAATCACAAAGTCCATTGAAGGCAACAGGATGAAGTAGAGGGAGAGAAACTCTAAAATGACTGGTTTAAAAGAAAATACTTAGGGGCGGTTTATTCACCTTCTGATAAACTGTGATGTATGCATTCTGACTGATAAAAACTCAATCTATAATCCGATTGGCCGTCCAGTTATCCACCGACCAAGAGAATTATAGAGCGGCAAATTTATCTTGCAGATGGTTAACAGCAAGTTTATCTGAAGATGAATAAATCGCGCGTTAAAAAGGTAAAATTCATAAAAACTTTGTTCGCGAGGGAAAAACTTTGGATTAGGGAAAATGTATGATGATAATTAGATCGATTTGATAATAAAGTCAATAAATAAACAATTCCTAGACATTCTAGTTTTTTAATGAATTATGAGAAGAACTTGGGGTTTTTTGAGCAATGAAAAGTAAAAAACAAAATTTGAATCCAAATTCCAATGGCCCCCAGAGAGCTTCTATGTGAAGCGATACTATCATTTATCAAACATCGAGAGGAGCATCTCATTTTTCAATGTTACTCAGGTGTAAATTTAGCACCCAAGCCTTAGTAGCAAAAGCTCATAATATGCAGTGCGGAGAACTCTATTCCCTCCTGAACTAAGAAAGCCCTATCAGTGACCAAAACAAAATTACCCTGTCCAACTACTTCATTCCATCCATTTTCACCTATCTATAGCCGTTGCAGTTTTTGAGACATGCACTACCGCTAAAACTTTGTGAAAAAAAAAATCCGATCTATTCGAACTAGATGTTACAAATCATCGCCAATAGACCAAGATATCTGAGATGGGAGCTAAATTTAGAAAAAAAATCATACCTTCCTGAAAAAGCTCGTTCCCAGTTAATATGGGAATTGTCTAATTTACACAAATTCAATGGTCATTAACTAATTCTCACACTACTAATAGTTCATCCGAACCCATCAAAATCAAAATCTTTATTGTATCAATAACAAAAGACAATACAGGGTGTTTGGGGCTTGGTCTTTTTCAAGTTCCGTATTAATGTTTCCTTGCTTTTGTGGCTTGAAGTGAAACAATCATCTTCTCGAATGAAACTATTTATTCAAACCATGGAAAATGAACACTTTTCCAAACAAGTAGGTATTTTATGGGCAGAAAATATAATTACAGTGCAACTAAAAAATGTGGCTTTTACTTTTGTTGCATTAAATATGCAGCGGATGATGATGGATTACAAAAAAAAAATACATTTTGCAAGCAGAGTGGATAAATGAATGAATAACTGATAATAATCGACCGATCAATCAATATGGATCAACAACAACAATGACAAACATGACATTTTATATGTGTCTGCTGCCAAACGTCACGACTTAAGGCGTTGGCACCGAGAGGAAAACCACATCTTTTTGCACTGGGTCAGTCAAGTCAGAACACAGACAAAAAGACAATAGAAAACAAAAACAATAAAAATAACTCACAAACATTAAAAGTAATAAAATATACAACCAACAGTTGTTAAAGGTGAGTGATAGCTATTCCCAGACAGAGTTTCAACGTAAGTCCTTAGAAGAGCCCCCACTCAACCCCACAATGTTATTACACAAGATAAAATACATAACATAACATAAGATAAGATGGCGGCACACATTCTGCAAGCTCAAGATCATTTGGGTTTTCAACCAATATTAACAGCTCTCGCCGAACTAGCAAAACTAATTTTATAAATACTGTAAGAACTGTTATACAGCATATCTCATAGAAACGTGAAAATCTTATAATGTGGCTATAAACTACTATACAATGTCTACACAACCAAAAAGGGCCCCAGTTTATACAACAGTTCAGTTCTTTTAGGAGATTCTTAAGTAAGCCACGCAACCGTTATAACATAATCAATGTGATAATTATAAAACTATCCCATAAATATGTCATCAGTATCACTTATACAATACATTTACAAAACTATTTGAGAACTGCTATAAAACTATTACATAACAGTGCTTTTATTCTGCGGTTTAAGTCTATTTTACGAACATTTATAAAACAATTAAAAAAATATTTTAAAAGGATTTTATAACGCAGAAAGAAACGCTGATACAATAATTTGGTTTTCTACTGTTGAAATTCAGAATCGAATTATCGCAAGAATATTTTATTATGCAAACTTATGAAGTAAATCAAATATAGTTTGAGGTTCAAGTACAATCTTGCAATATGGAGAATGGGAGTTATTGTATCGCTACCACCACCACGCCATATTGAAAATGCCTAATTATAATAAATTAAACCTTGCTGCTGCACTTAGTGGACAAAATTTGCTTGCGCAGCCAGCTTTTCTGACAATATATATATACATATATTTTTGGCAAAAAATTAAAGCGCCACCAGTTAAGCTTACATTTGTTGAGATTATTGAAAAGCAGATAATTAAAAAATATTTTTTTAAGGCCGAATTTTCAACTTAAACAGAAAATGTATTGTGTCTTTTGTAAAAGAGCAAAAAAATCGCCGTATTTCGTAAAAACATGTATTTGTTTTTGAAATTTTTGCGTTTGTGTATGAATTCTTCACAATGGCGGCGGTTTTCCGAACTTTTAATAAATATGGCGTATGGTAATACAATAATTTGGTGCTATCAGAAACGGTATACAATGATTCTGTTTTCTTCTGGGCTATATACGATATTAGAGTTCTATAATGTGGTTCGATATAACGCCATAAAACTGTTTTTGAGAGCCTCAGAATGTTTGTTCCTTGATCACTCTTGGATGATTTTATAATATGTATTTACATATAAAATATTTGTCTACAGCATCTTGTTTTTAACACCAAAAATAGCTTTTATGAATAGTTGCAAAATTAGCATGTTCTCCACTCTGTACTAGATGTCAAGATTGGAGAAAGATAATAGTAAGTGCGCCAACACATTTAGTCGTATGAATAAAGTGTTGCAAATGCTTTCACTCTACCTCCGTGTTTTTTTGCTGCATTCAAGCTAGATATTATGTTTATCTTAAAAAACTTAAGGAGAAGCATTTCCTTCAGTTTTATTCATATGAGCCATTGTGCTCAAAAAATACACGACGTTTTTAAAAACAAAAAAAATTAACCACTTTTGACAATGTCAATCAGCATAAACAAGACCACTTTCCGTAACTGAATTGCATACCTAATTATTTTTCTATAACATACATACCTATAAAGTGTCATTGTGCGATTTGTTCTGTCTACGCGAAACATGGTTGTTTTCCGATTGCCAATGCCAATTGACAAAAACTTTGAGACAATTGTCAAAATAAACTTTGCCGATTGATTGCACCTGTGGAATGGTAGATATAGGTACCAGTTTTTTTTTTTAAATTTATTGACATTTAATTTGTTTCTGTGATTAATTAACAGATTTGACATAATAAATAATTGTTTAAACCAATGAACTATAACCAAAAACTGGAATGCTAACACATAAGGACGAACTTGAAGCCTAGTGCGGCTGCTGCGGAGGGGATACCTGTTTTTGTCGCATTCATTATGTTAAATGGCAAAAATTGCTTCCAACACGTATTCCAATTGATGAAACCTGTGAAGGGAAATATGACAAAACTTTCGAAAACGTCATATGTCAGCGAGCATCAGAAAAAAACAACATTCCCCCTTGTGGCATCTGTCTTTCATGGCTTCATTTTTTTGGCAGATATGGCAATGTGTGCGCATTCCAGTTTTTAGCTATAGTTCATTGGTTTAAACTAACGTTAGGTTAAGGTATGTATATAACTAGTGCCCAAGACGGCAGCACTGTATGAGCTATTTCCGTGTTACCCTATACCGCGTTGCCGAACTACCCAATAGAACAGAAGTATCCCTTCGTGCGTGATGTACGGCAGTAAACAATGTTTCAGTTATATTGTGTTTCGCTCAATTAGGTTAAAAATTGAGTTTTTTTCCAAGCATGACCTAACCTCTAAGTGGGTATTATTTTTGTTTATACCGCGGTATCAAGATCCAAAGATGTTCAAGATAGTGGAAACTGTTGAAAATAATAGAAACGCAAATAAAATATGGAATTTTCACTTGAATTTTCTTATTTTGGCGCCTTACAAAAATTCCACCTTGAAGCACTTGCTTTGCCTCACCCACAAAATTCTGCAGATAGCTGTTTATAATAGCAAGTTTTCCAAAGCCACCATAGATCCCGATTACAAGTGGTTTAACTTCTGGGATTTCATGTCTGTTACATAAAATTGGCCAAAATTCGCACTTGGAACTTTTACCTATTGGAAGCCCGTCCATGTTTATATTTAGGGAAATAGATACTATATGAGCATATTTTTTCAAACACATTTTTAAATTGGATTCAAGACCATTGTGCCAATAAGTGCCATTCTCGAGTGTTTTAGAAATGTCCTCGGATCTGTGAGAAGAAGATTAGGCATAGCCAGGTGACATATTACGAATAGCTCTCTTAATGCATAATGATTAATGTTGAAAGACGTTGCCGACAACCTAAGTTGTTCCTTTATTTCAATCTTCTTTTCAATTTCCGGAAGAGAAGGAATCAAACTTTCGGCGTCGGTATCCGGCATATAATTTTCATCAGCACTATTAATGTTGCTTTCTTCAACGATATTATCTTGTTGGTTTTCGTTTCCTGTGAATTCTTCAATATCACCATTGCTGACAGTTGGAGCTAAAATTATTGTTGTTTCTTCTAAATTAGCCTTGTCGTTACAGATGGAAAAATTACATGCGACTTCAGGTTGATCACGAAAACTGCAAGTCTGAAGTAATATTCTATGGTACTCTTTTTTTTTGCTAATCTTTTAAAATCACCATTCTTTTTTATGCGCTTCCACCGAGATATTGCCGATTCCATTTTGGAAACAAAATATATATGGACCCAGCTCAATTCGTTGTAGTATTATTTAGGTTTTGTGCATTAGTAAATGAACAGATTTTATAACGCAGAACTGGTCATAACCCTGTTCTTGGGAACTACATTTTTATTCTATAAGCTCTTCATAAGAGAGAATACTGTTGTATTTATAGGATGTTTATAAAATACTGCCGTACTTATTGTGTAATGTTTATACTTACCGCGTAAAAGAACAATCTTTTTACTTTTCTTAAGGAACTTCAATACAACTATTTATACAGCTTCCAATACAACTAACTTTTAACGTCGCCATGGGAAGTAATATGATAGCTATACAACCGTATTATAATTTGTATAAAATTCTTTTAAAATAATTTTATTGGGATTATATAAGACGTTATGCAATAGGGTCGTTACCTCCTGTTATTAAAATTATACTGACCATTATTTTTCGATATAGTGAGGCCTAAACTTGGCCATGTCATATTGGTTTTATTGAAAATTGTTTCCTGGATTGTTTAAATTAATTTAAAATTTAAACATTTGTTGTCCTTGTCGAATTGTTGGTCTCTTTCACCCATGACGTCACTAGGCGGGCATGCGCAAA